CTAACAGATACAGAGAAATGGATGCGTGTTTAACATAGAAGTCAACCAATTGCTCAGCAGGCCTCTGTTTTGGAATCCAGCAAAAGAGGCATCCTTCCTACGGGTTGTTCCCCACCACCTATGGAACGCACTGAGCTGCAAACCTGGCAGCATCCTATCTGGTGTGAGCTCCTGCTGTTCAGAGTGTAGAGCCGTGGCTACTGCTTAGGGCTTCCGTTTTCTTTTTCTTGGTCCCCTGTGCTGCGAACGCCCCATACCTGGGCCCTTTCTTACCCGGTTCTGGTGTACGTTGGTCCAGGCCTTTCAGAATCTGCCCCGTCAGTCAAGCAACCTTATAGTACTTTTCTAATTCCATAGCTCTGGGGAGGGAAACCAGCGCCCCGAGTGCTCTGAGCAAGTGCTTGAGCCACACCTGGCACTGGACACGCTCCCTTGAGATCACAGTCCTCAGCCTGCCAAGGGCAGGGACAGACTTTACCCATCTGATCTTGGAGAACCCGAGACCCATTCTAGCATCCCGGATGGGGGTTTACTCGTAGATGGTAACCACATGTGTTCTGTTATGTAAATGTTCTCTCTCTCTCTGCTTTCACTACACATGTTTAATTGATGCTTCTTCATGTTAAAGGATATAGGAGGCTCCTCTTTGATAGGCGCCTGGCACCAGGGCATTTCTGGAGCAGCCTTTACTTTAAGGACAACTAATTAAATCAGTAGTGCTCCCTCGCGGTGCTCCCGAGTAGGCGGGGCTGACGCGCCATCTAGTGGCGGCTCCCGGAATGTCGCTCCTGCGGACGCCTGAGTGGCAGGTGTGGGCGCTGGAGGTTAAGCAAGCCTAGCTGCCCCCTGAGGTTCAGCTTCAGCCCAGAGAGTGAGCCTTTCAGGGAGTGTGGCTAGAGGGGGCCCGAGCCGCTGGGGGCAAGGAAGCCTTAGCTGCAGGGCCCTCCTTGCGGCAGGCGGCCCTGTCCTGGCAGTCTTGTCTGCCGGGTGGCTCTCTGCTAAGCCAGGGAAGCCCGGGCAAGGCCCCCCCACCCAGGCGCCCCACTTTGACATGGGGGTGTTTCCCTGATCTATTTCTACCTAGGATTGGTTGCAAGATTCCCTGTGTCACCCCTAGGAGTCCTGGCCCTGTCTCCACCCCCCAAGACCTCAGCATGAGCCTTCCTTCTGCGTGACATCATTCTATTTACGGAGTGCTTGCAAGAAATCCAGGGCCGTATACCCTCATTTAAAACAGGACTTTCACTGGAAGTGCTTTCTCAACAACAACCCTCGCAGAAAATCACCCATGCTGCTTCTTTGCCTAGCATGACCCTGTAGCTCGTCCTGTAGTTAGTTCAGGACCTGGAAGCTAGTGTATGGGATATATTTTCTCAACAGTCAGAGAAAACGATGCCCAGAGAGGTTTACCAACCTGATAAAGTCACACAGCTAGGAAACGGCAGAGCTGGGCCTAGGGCCCAGGCACAGTGACACAAAGGCCTGTGCTGTCTGTCTCAGCTTGGGCTGGCTGGAAGCTTGATCAGGAATCTGGGTGACGCAGCCTGAGAGCTCTGGCCCCAGGTCCCTTTCTTACTAGTTGTCTCGTGATCTCAAGTTGGTCTCGTGATTCCTTCCAATTCAGTTGTTCTCACCTGAAGGTAAAGTAGCACAATCCGGCCTTACAAGGATGTGCATGGTTTGAACGAGCTAATGATGGCAAAGGTTTTTATTGGCACACTGAAAAATGCCCCACGTGACATCAGACATCTTTGACTCCACAACACCCTCTGTCCTCCAAGTGGCTTCTTTAAAGAAACTTCTGTGCGGAGCTCTCGGATCAGTCCAAGACAGCCCAGCGTGCCAGGCCGTGAAACAGGCGTCCTCCATCCAGGCTCGGCCTCTCAGCAGCCAGGCCCAAGCTGCTTCCTTGTGTCTTCTCTGCTGGGCCCGAGTCCAAAGCTCTGCAGCGCTCCTGGCCGCCTGGTGCTCTCTTTTCAAGGGGTTTACTAGCTGGCAGCCTGCCCCGCCCTGCACATTCCTCCTGCGCCTGCATCAATCACGCTCTTGTTTCCTTGGGAGGCTGAGGGCAGGCCAGCCTTGTGGGAGAGGGCTGGGGGCACGCTGTAACCCGCCAAGCCATCTGCAGAGCCGGAGGGAGCCTGAGCCAGCCAGGTCTGCGCAGCCACGGCCCGGAGAGGCTCCGCGGGCGTAGGGCTGCACAGGCGGCGTAGGGAGCGCAGGGTCCCACGGCCTGGCCAGGGGCTGGCACAGGGCGGTAGCTCTGTGGCAGCCGGGTTAAAGCGTGTGACTAAGTCAGGATAAAACTTGTCTACCGCGTTCTTTGTACGAAGCAGTCTTCACTCATGTTCAGAAATGCTGAGCATCAGTCCCAGGAAAATACTCCACCGAGGAGGAAGAAGAGAGCATCTCCTTTCCAGGACACAAAGACCAGGGGCAAGCGTGGGCCTGGTGGGTGGCAGATCAGAGGCACCCGTGGAGTTTGTTTTAGGTTGTGACCTGGATAATTAGAAGCAGAATGTAATTTCATTGACGATTCCATGGGATCCTTAAATACTCGAACAGCCTGTAGTGGAGAGTCTGCTGTAACAGAGCCAAAGTTTTAGCTTTTACTTCTAATTTCCTCTCCTTGGACTTGGTTTTGTGTCCTTGCTTTTGGGGGGTGGGGTGAGACAAGGATGTGGGGTCCGGCTGAGTCGCTAGGTTGCCCAAACTGGCCTCGAACTTGCACTCTTCCTGCTTCAGCCTTTCAGAATGCTGGGACTGCAAACACGTGCAGCCAGGGCCCCCTCCAGGATGGCAGCTCTACCCCTGAGCCTATCCCTGGCCTCAGCCTCATGACCCGAGCTCCTCCTGGTTTAGGCCTCAGTTGGAGGTTGAGGGTTAAATGTACCCCTGACCTGCTGTTGGGCAGAATCCGAACTCAGGTCAGCATAATCATTCACAGAAGCACACGCCTTTATATTGCAAGCTCTGTTTTTCTCAAAAAATAAATTGATATAAATATGTATTTTCTAGCGAGGGCTTTTATATACACACCAGGGAAATTCACTTTTAAAAGCTACTTCAAATAAAGTATAAAGCTAATACTTTATTTTGTTTGTTTTTAACTTTTAACTTAAATATTGCATTTATCCTATGCCAGGCATCTTCCAGCCATGGGGACAGAACATTTAAAAAAAGATAAGGAACGTGCTTTGCTGGACCTGTGATTTTAGAAGTACATTTTTTAGGGATCACTTGTTTTTGGTTGTTGATTATTCTGACTGTTACAACTGCGTGCTTCAAGTGGACAGAGATCTCATGGGTCACTGCAGTAGTGAATGACCTTAAATGATAGCTGAGCCAGTGATTAGAACCCTGGGCAGATCGAGTCTCGTGTGGGATCTAGCTTTGGACGATAGAGGAGAAAAGTGGCTGGCTGTAGAGGGGACCTACATGAAATGTATCACCAAGGAGAACCTTCAGAGGGAGTTCAGGAGCTCACTAATACCATGCAGCAGATGACAGATGACAGGGAGAACCTTCAGAGGGGGATGTTGGAATTGGCCTGGGAATGCACAGGTAGAGCTGGCCACATAAAAGTGAGCAGTAAAAGCTCATGGCACAGCACAGCAAGTGCAAAGGCCCTGAGGTAGTAATATGTGTAGTGATTCCTGTGTGCCAGGAATGGAGTGAGGAAATCTTCTCAGAGGCTTACAGGGTCTGGTCAGGGGTCTGCTTACTGGTGTGAGGGGCCGAAATCCTTGACAAGCTAGTGTGGAAAGATGGGAGAACAGAGCAAGAGTGCTGCTCTGTAAGTATGGAGTAAGGACATTCCATCTTCTTCTGTTTTGAGTGTGTTTGGAAGTGTCTGTGACAAAAGATCACCAAGGAACACTTTCAGGTGCAAACAAAACAAGAATCCTTTACATGGCAAGGACAGTGAGCCTAGGAATAGCAGGCGGGCTCTTTTCTCACCATGGGAACAGACTCCTAAACAGTTCAGTGGTAGAGGGATGCCCAGCAAGGGGATTTTGCCATAGTTGGGCAACTGTGGTGGGGCGTGTCAGGGGCCGGGAGATGGAGCCAGTTTGACCTGCTGGTGGCTGGCAGAGAGGAGTGTGCCCAGGACCACGAGGCACGCCAGCTCCAGACGTGCTTCTTGCCACTAGATGGGACTGTCATCTGCTGCACGGTATTAGCGAGCTCCATCCGGTGGGCAGAATGTATTAGCCGTGTTTATAATGCGGTGACATCATGGGTGTTTCAGAGAAAGTAGCGCAGGATGGGTGGACCCTTGAGTCATCTCTTGGAGGGGAACTCATGGCCTGGAGTCTTCTGCTGGTCATGGCAGGCGCAGGAAATAAAACCTACTGGATTAGTTCATTAGCAGTTTAGGGATCACTTGTTTCGGTTGTTGATTATTCTGACTGTTACAACTGCCTGCTTCAAGTGACAGAGATCTCATGGGTCACTGCAGTAGTGAATGACCTTAAATGGCAGCTGAGCAGTGATTAGAACCCTGGGCAGATCGAGTTTTGTGGGATCAGCTAATAAGATGCAAATGACTTCTGCCCACTCTACAACAAGAGTTGTGAATGAACCTCTAAATAACCCAGGACTGAACAAAAAGATGAGGAGAAATGAAGCTTCTTGAAAAATGCATGTTTTGAACAATGCTTGAGCATATAACTAATCTCTAGAGGAAACTGGGAATAAGAAAATGTAGCCCAATGACCCCTGAACTGGTTACTCATTCAGTAAATGTTTAGTGAGCACCTAATACACACTAGGCTATGTTAGATGCTCAGGATCTTGTGGAAAGTTAACACTAAGTGTCTGTGCTGGAAGAAACGATCCACAGGGTGGGACCTAGAGTGAAGTAATTGCATGCATGTTGGATGAGAGGATGTGAAGGAATCAGAAAAGGGCTGACACAGCAAAGGGAAGGTTTGTGGCTTTGAAGGGACAAGAGCAGTGAGCCCTCTGCCAAGGCCTGGGGCAGGGAAGGAACGAGCGACAGCAGTGGCAGCACGGAGGTCTGGAGGTCTGGCTGGCCAGTGAGCGAAGCGAGGGGAGCAGCAGTGCTGGGGGCCGAGGGGAGGACGGTGTTGAGGCCCGGCTGCTGGACTGCAGGGCGTGAGCAGCTGAATAAAGACCTGGTCAGAGAAGCGGGCAAGTGAGAGCTTTGTGACACAAGGTGGAGAGCAAAACAGAGGCTGCGTCCTGCAGGGCCAGGGCAGGGTGAGGCTTTGGATTACTCCTTTTGTTCTGAATTTATTCTTCCACTTTCGTCCCGGCCCTTCGGTCTCCAAGGCCACCTCTGCCTTCACGCAGTCCTTCAGGAGGATTTGCAGCCTGCTCCGCAGCTCCCTGGGGTGGGCGGCAGAGCCTCCTTCTCGGGGCTGAGCTGAGCCCACTTTCCTTTTCTGGGGCAGCTTCTGGAGGAGGCTGGGCCCAGGCCCAAAGCGCTGCCTCTGCAGCGTGAAGGGAGGAGGCGGCTTGTGGGATGGACCTCCATGCCGCTGGCTGGCGTCTCCACCCTCAATCCCAGGGAGCCAAGACCGTGAGTGGCTGCCAGGGACCCTGGCACCAGTGCTTCTGTGCTCCGAGGGGAACTCTTGCAGGCAGCAGTGTCCTCCCAAGCCCAGGTTAGAGCCAGCAGCAGCAGGAAGCAACTTTCATAGAAAAAGTCAGAAGTGGAAACCCTGGGTGGCCAGGAGACCTGCCTCAGGTGTGGTGCCAGGTAACAATTCCTGCCCCGGGGTGAAGGTGGGGACACCACCCGAGGCCTGGCTGGGACTTCCCAGACAGCAGCTGGCAGCGGCCACACCCTGCCCTTGGGAGTGCTCCAATCGTCCACAGCTTTTGCTGTTGCACAGGCCGCGAGGCAGCTGGACAGCACAAGCCACCTAGCAGGTGCCAAGGACACTTTCCTGTAGCTCTCTCCTGAAAATCTGTTATTTTTCTTCAACACCTAATTAACTTCCCGGAGACCCGTCCTGAGGGACTGGACTTGTCATGAGAAATCACAGCACAAGGCTTTGCAGAGCCGGCTGCCATGGAGGCGCGTTCGGAGGCACTATTTCCTAGTCGGATATTTGCATAGCCGGCCTGACTCCAGCAGAAATCTGCCAGCTGCGGGTGACCCTGACTTTGAGAGCACCTGCAAAAGAAGAATTCAGAGTGGAAAGTCATCGTTCCGAGTTGGCAGGCTTTCACGAAAGTCCCTGCAGTCTCCGAGTGTATAGCTGCCATGGGTCACGTAAAAGGCTTGTAGCTCTAATATACGGTTTCATTTGCTTGAATATGAGTGTGGGTGCACAGCATCAAAAAATGGCTTGAGGTGGAGAATTTCATATGGGATCCCAGCTGGGGCTGCCAGCCGTATATGTGCTAATGCTGCAGTTTCAACTTTGGACTTAAGGTCAAGATTAATTTAGTGAAAAATATTATTTTGCAATGTAGCAGACACCTTCTGATTCACAAGCAGGGAGAGTTCAGCAGGCTCGGTGAGATGTGGGGTGTGGACAGCCCACATGGCTAACGTGGGAAATGCTGTGAGAAGCAGAATTTTTCTCTTATGCATAGGAAAATATTGTTGCTGGTGGGCTGCATGTCTCCCTCAAAGGTATCTGGGTGTTTTGGAGAAATAATACAGGCATATAAAGTAAGTCTCTGTTATGGAGAATGTCAAATATGGACAGACCCTCCCTGTTATGATTTATATCTGGGGGCTCCCCAGAAGCTTCATGCGTTTGGGAGGCAACTGGATCAGGGGGCACTACACTCGTCAGTGGATTAATCACTCCTGGGGTCACAGTTTATATACTGTTAAGAGGTGGGCCCAGTTAGAAACAGGAAATGGGAGGGGGTGTGACCCGGAAGTGTTAGGTCTCCCTCCCCAGCTGACCCCTAGTCTCAATTGCATTGATTTCTGCTTTTTAAAAATAATTTTCTCTCTCATAGAAGCTATGGGCTTGATTTGCTCTTCTTTTTCTAGAAGCTCAGAGTTCAATATTAGGTTGTTTATTTGAGCTCATTGTATTTTTCTGATATGAGAATTCACCTCTGTAAGTTTCTCTCATAGGACTGCTTTCATCTTATTCCATAAGTTCCAGTATGTCACATTGGCATTATTGTTTAATTGTAGACACTGTCTGATTTCTTCTTTAATTTCATCTGGCTCACTGGCTGTTCAGGAGGGCATTGTTTAATTTCCATGTAATTTTTGTGGCTTCTTTTGCCATTGACTTCCAATCTCACTGCACTATGGTCTGCAAATATGCACGGGATAATTTCCATTCTTTTGCATTTACTTAAGCAAGTTCTATGAGGCAGTATGTCTAATGTTTTGGAGAATGTCTAACGGCAGCTGAGAAAAATATGTACTCTGATGTTGTGTGGTAAACTGTATAGATACCTATTAAGTTCATCTGTTCAAAAGTTTGGTTTAGTTCTGTTATTTCTTTGTTGATTTTTTTGTCTATTTCATCTATTTATTCATGAGAGTGGGATTCTGAGGTCCTCTAGTACAATTGTGCTAGTGCTTATTTGATTTTTCATGTCCATTAATATTTGTTTTACATAGTTGAGTGTGAGAGTATTTGATGCATGTATATTTATGATTGTTATCTCTTCCTCCTGGATTGTTCCCTTTACAAAGATGTAATGACCTTTTTGTCTCTCTCAATCAATCTTGGTTTGAAATCCACTTTGTTTGCACATAGACTAGCTATCCCTGCCTTTTTCCAAGTTCCTGTCACATGGAATTTTGTTTTCTAGCATTTGATTTTTAGTCTATGAATTTCTTTATGAATTAAATGTGTTTCTTATATGCAACACATTGTTGGGTCTTGCTTCTTGATCCATTCTTTCAGTCTGTTCCTTTGGTGAATTGAGACCATTAACACTAATGGTTAAATTGATTTGTATTGACTTATCGTTTTTGTCATGTTTTTTTCCTGTTGTTACCCCCCCCCCATTTAATTGTTTTCTTTGCCTGTTGGATTCATTGTGTTAGGATTCATGGAGTTGTAGTTCTTTTTATTGCTTCCTAGAATATCTTTCAGAACATTTTAGAGTGCTAATTTGGTGGTCATGAATTCAAGTGTTCTTTGTTACGGAAGTATCTTATTTCTCCATCAATTTTGAAGATAGTTTTGCAGAGTACAATTTAGGCTGGAGGTTGTTTTGTTTTTGTGCTAGAAATACCTCATTTCAAACTCTCCTTGACTTGGGGGGTTTGTATTGAGAAGTCAAGTCTATGCATTTTGACTCTGTGATGCTTCAGATGTGATATGCGCTCAGTGGAAATGTACTTGGAATTTTGAAATTAGATCTTTCCTGGGTGAGCATTGGGCAGTCAGTCTTCTCTCGTGGTGTGGGGTAGCTTCGGGGACTGCAGCTCCCAGGCAGCCTCATTGTGAAAAGGAGCAAGCCACCAGCACTCTCTAGTATACTTTGTTGTGCTAGGAATATGGCAGACTGGACAGACTAAACTCACTTCTGACTTCACAATATTTTCAAGGTGTGTGTTAGTTACTTTTCTTGTTGCTGAGACAAAACACCCAACACCCAAAGTTAAAGGAGGAAAGGTTTATTTAGCTCACAGTTTATAGAGGTTTCTGAAAGGGTTTTGGCCCAGACAGGACACTATAGCCAGGAAAGCCTCAACCGGAAGCAGGAAGTCCCTATCTCCCCCACCCCTAGGAATTTACCTGTGATGCCATCTTCCTGCCCCTGGGAATTTACCTATGGTGCCAAACCTAGGACCAATGGGCTACCTGTGCATCCCTAATGCCCTCCTTAGGTTCCACCCCAAACCGAGGCTACTTACATACCCCCACTCCATGTGTCCACCGAAGAGATCGCCAGACTCCAGTGGTGGGGGGTGCCAGTCATCTCTCTCCGTGTTCTCAGAATAAAGGCCGCTTTTTGTTTTATACTTCTCATCTTTTGGAAATATTTTTCATCTTTTGGAAATAATCCTATCAGTTTCAGTCCATAACTGGCTGGTTCCAAGACAGGTTGGCACGTGGCAGAGGGACAGATGTTCATGGTAGGAGAAGACAGCAAAACAGAGAGAGACTGAGAGATATGGAGAGAGACAGAGAGAGGGAGAGAGCCTGATTTTTGGTCCCTCCTATTGTATGCAGGCTACTTGCCCTAAGGCGGATGTAGCATTTACACTCTTAATCCCAGATTGGACCATGAATCAGTCAAATACTATAGTTCAGCTGCCTCCCAAAATCCTGCCCCTTCATGACCCCACAAGGCTCTAAGGGGCCATTCAGATACAAACCATAACAGGGAGAATCTCCTGGGACTGGGGTAAGGGCAGGGCATTTGTACTAAGTTAGAGACAATTGTCTATTAATTGGAAAACTTTCTCTGTAAAGAGCTAGATAGTATTTAGGTTTCTCCAGGCTGTAGGGTCTCTGCTTCAGCTCTTCACCATTGGTATTATAGCACAGATCCATCCACAGATCACACCTACATGAGTAAACAGGAGTATGTTGTAATAAAACTTAATGCCTATTGACATTTGAATTTTACGTAAACTTTACACACTGTGTAACATTCTGCTTTTGATGTTTCTAGCATTAAGACAGAAAACTTTTTCTTTGCTCACCAGCTACACAAAAACAGATGAAGGACAGATTTGACCTATAGATCATAATTTACTCCTGAATTAGTGGAAGAAGCTCCTCTTACCGTCATTGAGTTTCAACCAAAACCAACTCATACCAAATCTTTCATCTTTTCCCTATCTGTTCTGCCTCCCGGATTCTTTGACACAAAACCTAATCAACAATTAGTTTGTCCATATTCAAATGTACTATGTACTACTAAAAAGGACTTTAATTTTACATATAAACCACAATATCATTATCACATCTAAAATATAGCAGTTCCTTAGTATAATCAAATATCTAATTAGTATTCAGTTTCCCATTGTCTCCTAAATGTTTTTTACTATAAAGTTTGTTTTCTTCATCTTTAGTTTGTTTGAATCAGAATATATGATCCACATTACAATTGCCAATATGCTTCCTGTTTCCTCTAATCTTGGGTTCTCTCTCCATCTCTTTCTTTTTTATTTTCCTGTATACAATATTTGCTGAAGAAATTGCATGGTTTATTCTAGAAGGTTTCCTGCATTGTGGCTTTGGCTGATTGCATCCCAGTTCTGTTGGCGGATTTGTTGCTTTGTCCTTGGTGTTTTCTGCACTACAATATTTCTTGCCAACTGGAAATTAGAGCCCAGCAACAGATGAGATCCCGGTTTTTAGTTTTGTTTTGCTTTTCAGTAAGGTAACTTCCCAGGTGGTACTGTGTCCTGCCATTCTCCCGTCAAGGGGCCTGAGAAATGTGATCGTTTCTCTTCTGTGATGCTAGCTGCCATCAGGGACTATTACCTAGATTCATTTCTTATTTTAAAAAAATGTAGACTTAATTTTATTAGAGCAGTTTTAGATTTACCAAAACAAAACCAAAGATAAAAAAGAGCAAGAAGTTTCCTGTCTTACTAATCTTGCACTGATATGGTGCATTTGTTGAAACTGATGAATCAGTACTGATACGTTCTTATGAACTACAATCCGTAGTTTACATCAGGATTCACCTCTGTTGTACAGCTCTGTGGGTTTTGACAAATTCACAGTACCTTGTACCCGCTGTGACAGTATCTATACAATACTTCACTGCCTGAGAAGCCTCTGAGCTTCACCTGGTTTTCCCTTCATGTGCCCCGAAGCAACTGCTAAACATTTACTCTCTCTATAATTCTTTTTCCCCTAGCTCCAGTTTTTGTTAACTATGAGTAAAACTACTATAAACATTGATGTACAGACTTTTGTGTGGCCATAAGCTTTCAATTCAGTTGGGTAAATATTTAAGGGTAAAATTGATTGTATGTAAAAATATATTTAACTTTTTAAAAACCATCCAGTATTCTTCCAAAGAGGCTCTGCTGTCTTCTACGAGTTTAACAGTCTTGCATTTATGTTTAGACCTTTGTTTCATTCACTGTCAAAGATCAATGAGCTTGTTTGTACGGATCTATTTCTCTCCTGTTCACTGATCAGTTGGTCCGTTCTTTCATCAGTGCCACACTGTCATGATTACAGTATCTCTGTAGTGAGCATTGTAGTCAGGTAGTATCTGTCTTCTGACTGTGATGGTCACTACCTTGTCAGCACTTCTTGGGCCATTTGCATTTCCATAAAAATTTTAGAGTCAGTTTTTTTATATACACAAAATAACTTGCTGGAATTTCAGTTGGGATTGAATTGAATTTGCAAATGAAGTTGGAAAGAATTAACATGCTAATGTATTGCTACTGGGTAGCTCTTTCTAAAAGTGGCTCACCAAATAAACGTTATCATGTTTTGTGATGCTCACATCTCTTTCTGGAGTTGGATTCCAGGCCTTTCTGGTCTTGAACAAAGAATTGAATGAAACAAGCAAAAAAAAAAAAAAGATGACAAAGTTATTTGAAAATGTAAAACCAGAGAGTAAGCGAGAAACTGGCTCTGCAGACTGAGCTCAGGTAAATGCAAAACAAGCAAAGTAATAGTCCACCCAGAGGACCCGGGTGGGCATCCCGGAGGAAAGCCAAGACAGCAGGCTCTCCATGGCACCTGTGTCCTTTTATTCCAACTTTGAGGAACCACGAGAACTCCTTCCTGTGGGAGCAGCCTGCTCCAGTTCTCTTGAGAAGCCCATGTGTGGGGCTTGGCAGCTGTCCTGAACGTGGGTTCTAGAAGCCGTAATTAACAGGCCACGTCCACTTCCCCAGCTGGCGTGGTGACGCCCTCACCCGTCTCATTATTGTTTGCATATCCATGAACATGGACTTGCTCTCCTTCCTTTAGATATCGTCATGGTTTATGTGTGTGTTCCCCAGGCCTCATGAGCTTGCATTGTGTATTTGTGATGGTTCATTGTCTAGTGCTTGGATTGATGGTGTCAGTGCTCCACCCACATAGGGGTGGAGCCAGGATGTGATGTAATGGCAGGAAGAAGGTATATCTTTCTCTTTACTGGTTTGAGCTTGCTGTTGGCAGTCGCCATGAACTGTGATCCAGCCATGCCCGCCTGCCTTGGAGCCAACTGATTGTGGACTGAAACCTCCAAAAATTGTAAGAAATAAACCTTTCCTTTCCCAGCTTTGGGCTTCAGGTATTTTTGTCTCAGCAACGAGCATAAAGTAACTAAGACAGATATCCTCTGATTGCTTTCATCAGAGTTCTAGAGTTTTCCTCATATAGAGTTTGTGCCTTTTTTTGGATTTATAAAGTATTTCATTGTTTGATGCTAATATAAGTGGTATTCTATTTTTAATTTCAAATTCCAGTTTCTCATTGCTACTATAGATGTGTTCATTTCTCAAGTTTATAGACTGGTGATAGTCCACCATTCTATACTTATTAAAAAGTACTCTTCTATAAAAAATTTCTCACACTAACTTTTCAGTTATCCAAAGATAGGATGGAAAGAAAAATAATACTCCTTCCTCTTAATTTTCCAACTTTTCAAAAGTGTTGGGTTTGCTCTTTAATACCTTTAATATCTAATAGCAATATTTGTTATTTTTTAAAACTATCATCATAAAAGAATATCACATATGTTTCAATCTATTACATGAGATACGTAATCATATAATTGTGTCTTAAATTTAGGTGATACACAGCTGTAATCCCAGCACTCAGGAGGCTGAGGCAGGAGGATTGCCATGAGTTTGAGGCCAGCCTAGACTACATAGTGAGCCGGCCTGAAAAAGGTGATATCCTGTCTCAAAGCAAAACAAAAAAACAAAAACAGACAAACAAGCAAAAATGTTACTTGATACAGTTCTGTGTGCTCTGCAAACTAGAAGTTATAGAGTTAAATTTGTTTCAACTTTGTTTTGATTTTAGGGATTGATTTTTTTTAAGAATCTAGACTTAAAAATAGTCACACACATTTGTCTTTTCATATTCCTTCTTGAATTTTTGGCAGTTTATCTTTGGAACGAATTCCTAGAAGTGAAGTTGCTGCTTCGAAGGGCAAATGTGTGTGTGTGTGTGTGTGTGTGTGTGTGTGTGTGATTTTGCTCCACGCTGCCAATTTTTTTGCTCTTGGGGCTGCACCACTTGCCTCTGGCTGGTAAACAGTATTGAGTGCTCTATGCTGAAGACCCCTAAACTTGCAGAGTGCAGTAGGGCTCCTTTAAGAGTTTTCCTTAAAACGTGTCTCATGCTATCCTGGCAACAGCTACGTATTTACCCGATTTTACAGACATTGCCATGTTGTGGGTGTGGCTTGGTCCCACCAAGACTCATGTGGAGTTTGGTCCCCGGGGTAGGCGCGCTGCAGGCATTTGAGGTCACGAGGGACCTGACCACCCGAGTGGGTTGTGCTTTTCTCTAGGCAGTGAGTTCTTGCTGTCTTGGGTTTGGATTAGTTATCAAGAGAGCAAATCATCCTGACACAGTTCCGCCTTCTTGGCTTTTTCTTGCTTTCTCACCTGCTGCATGCTTTCTCTGTGCATCTGCTTGTGTTCCTTCTGCTTCTCCATCCTGAGATGAGGCAGCGCACAGCCCTAGAGAGAGGCTGAGCAGATGCCGACACCGGGCTCTTGAACTTTTTCACCCCCAAAACCATGAGCCAAAATACAGTCTTTTCTTTACAAAGTACCCAGCCTCGAGAACCATATAGCAGCAATGCAAAACAGACCAAGACAGATGGCAAAACAGACCCAAAGAGCTGAAGTGTCTGCACACAGCAGGAAGCAGTCTGACTAGCCTGGCTCCATGTTTAGCTCCAAAAACTCTTGGTGTCTGCCCTCTCAGGCCTCTAGCATGACTCTGCTTTCTGGCCTTGTTTATGTTGGTCCGGCTGAATTTACCTCTCCCCACAGAGTCTGAGGAGGACGAGGTGAACCTGGCAGAGGCCTGTGGCTGCTTGCTTCTTTCTTTCATTTATCGAGCAAAAGGCACTGGGCCAGAGTCTGTGATGGTGAAGATGATGTCTATGTGGCCCTTGTGAGCAGATCCAGCTCTTTTGCAGAGAGAGGGAGACAGTAAGGATTCACAGTGGAGCCTGGGTATTAGGGTAGGGAATCTCAGGGTAGGGAGGGGCTCTGAGGAGGAAGAGAGTTCTAAGGGGGTTCTGGGAAGAAGTGACAGCTGGGGCGACTCCTGAAGAGTAAGATTTGGATGCATCCAGTGGGAGGACAGAGGAAAAGAGGATGCTGGGTAACAGTGGTGCCAAGAACTGAAGACAGAGGAGGGAGCACAGGGCACTGATGAAGCTAATGCATTTCTGGAGGGTCATGGGTGATGACATATGTGGTTAGTTAACTGACTTGCAGATGGGTTCTTTAAAAGTACGGTCTCTGGGGCACCGACATCTAAACTCTGAATCCATGACATGAGGGTGCCTATCTTAGGCTCTGCCTCTTACTATGCATGGCATTGTGTTCCCAACATCTGGCAGCAATGGCTGTCTCTCAGTGGCCTTCTTTAAACGTCTTTTCTTCTCGCAGCTTGAAGTGTGCCACACTGGGCCAGCCTTCCACATGCCAATCTACCAGGTAAGGCCACCTAAAGACAAGTGGAAAACTGAAATATTACACAGTGATTTGATTATAAGAAGCTAAACTTCAGGCCCATCTCTGGGGCGGTGGGTGAGAGGAAGGAAGAGATATTTCACAAGAATGTTCCAGAACCTGAATTTGCACTTGTTGACCAGAACAAAAAAGCTGGTAAGTGAGTGGACTGCTAATTACACTGCACCTCCATCAATGTCATCAGCTAATACCCAGAGATGAAGATACTGGCCCTAAGATCAAATATACAATGCCTGATAGCATAACCTGCCTGATAAGGGTTAACAAAATTAGTAGGATAAATGAGGAGAGAGACTGCAGCAAATGTCTTTGATTTTGTAGGTGAATCATAAAAATAAAACGTCTGGGGCCATTTCATCTTAATCACGTCAGAAACCCAGCTAACCCCTCAGCTCACGGTTGATCTCTTTGAACGATCCAGAAAGAAATGTGTGCTTGGACATATGGAAGCATATTTGACTGAAATCCAGTGATAAAAGACTTTTTTTTTAAAGGGAATTCAGGGTAATGATTGGTGGTGTGGCCTAAGTCTTGTTTTTTTAAATCAGATTTTCCAGCTGTAGAACAATGACCCCTTTCATTTAGTTATTGCAGTCCCAGATGGGTTCCACAGAGCAACAAACGACATTGGATATGAATTTAGGAGCTTGAGCCAAAGCTCCACCATTCACACCAACTCCGCAATGCAGAATCATTTCTGCAAACCCCACGTTTGTCTGTTCTTCCCTGGGTTTCCTCACCTGTACCCCTGACATCAATGTACCTCCAGCCCATGTCTCCGGTCTACACATCCCCAAGGGGCTGCTCACACTCGGTATCTCACTGCCACTCACCCCAAAAGCCTGACCTGCTTCTGTTAAGTAGCTCCCCAGGCAGGTCATCGACTTAGGCCATCTGAAACTGTAGCTGTCCTTACCAAGATACCTCTCCTTGTTTGCAGAGATCTCTGCACTTCCAGTGCCTTTATCTTCCAGGGTATTTTCTCCACCTGTCCCCTAATTCCTAAGCACCCTTTCACCTGCTGTCCTGGTCTCCCACACCACCTCCCCGCCTCCGCCATCTCTTCCGCAACTGCCCACCCGCCCCTCTCTGATCGAGGCGCCATATTGTCATTGAAACACCTTCTCCATGTGTATGTCTGATTGTATCACGCCTCCCTACCACTTTTGAGTGGGGCTCAGTCTCTTTTGGATATAGCCTGGGTTCTTGAAGCCAGCCTCCCATGCCCTGTCGGCTCAGGTCCCTTTCTGTGCCTCTTCCAATTTCTTGTACTTGGGCCACCCCTTTGCCCAGCACACCCACCAATTCTTGGCACTTACTACTCCTTGTGGGTTGCTTGTTCTCACTCAGCCTTCTCCATTGAGCCGAGGGACACACCTGTCTCAGTCACGCCTTCCCTGACCCTCAGCCTGGCCAGGTGTCCAGCTGAACCCTCTCAGGGAGCAGAAAAGCTCTTTCGGTACTAATGCTCAGCCAAGTTTGATTATACATTTATTGATGCCATTAGTCTACTCCCCGTATGCCCCCAGTAGTCCTGCCCTGGTCGTGTGACCATGGCCAGTGTGTTTTTGCCACCAGGAACGCTCAGCCACATGCATGGTGCCTGGCACAACATGGGTGCACAATGTGTACTGGTGAGTGAGTGAATCCCCTGAGTCGCCCACAGAAGGCACCTTTGATGGCCCCTAAACTCATCAGAAAGACCCAAAATAGGCTACTCAGGGCAGGGATGGGAGTGAAGAAATAGTATCCGGTGCCACAAAGGTTGTAATGGAAGAAAATGCCCTGAATCCTCTAAGGCACATACAGAAGAAGGACAGGATCTGAGATGACCAGCTCGCCCGTTTAGCGGTTAGATCAGCTAGTCCAGTGTTTCCTCTGCTGTGGGATTCTGAGGAATGTGACGTGACTGTAGATGGGCTTAGCCCTCCTGTGCACACTCCATCTTGAACATGCATCAGTCTTCATGGATGCAAATCTTGACTCCTAAAGCTGTCACTGAACCGAATGCTGAAATCTCAAGGACGTCATGGCAATGACAGTGTGCATGCTGGCAGCTGAGACTTCTGGTGTGCGCACTTACAATGCCGCCTCTGCTCAGGAGACAGTTATTGGGCTGATAATTTGTTAAAACCCTGTAGATGCAAATTGCAGAACAGAATGAGGGGCCGCTGAATGATAACCTGCTCTAAGCAGAGCCTGAGGAATACACTGACTTGCTCTGGGCAATTTAGAACTAATCCTGAGCAAATAATGAACTAGGTCTCAGCTAGGCCTGCAGAGACTGATGCATCCTCTGAGCCACGGAGACCTCTGAGGATAATATCGCTTCATGAATGGGGAAAGCGTTGATTTCTACTCCGGGGTCATGTCATGGACCCCTCAGACAGGTAAACTGAATCCTGGTGTCCTAGATTAAACAAGAGTCAGGACCACAGTGAAAAGAGGAGGAGCAGATACGTCTGTGTGTGCATGTGTGTGTGGGTATATGTATACATGTGTATGCACACACAAATGTGCGTGTATGTGAGTGTGCATGTTCACATGTATGCACTCATACTCCTGAAGTGCAGGTAAATGTGTATATGTGCATATGTGGTAGACATATGTGTGTGCATGTATGTGTGTAGTACGCATGTCCCCATGCACATGCAGTGTATATGTCTATGTATATGTGTTAGTCAGGGAACTTTTGCAAATATATTTTAAGTTTTCCTTCTGGGCTCATAACTGCCCTGGGCGGTGATAGGAGGTAAGCACGCAGCACAAAATAGAATAATCAAGAGTGTAAGTTAGCCATGTTGAAAAAACAGAAGCAGGGATTCTTTAGGTACACCTAAGAGGGAGTAAATAAAGGTCTTGAAACATTAATAATTGTTGCCTGTTAAAAATAAGAGGGAACAGAGAGATAAAACGCTGCCAACACAGGTCCAAAATCGTCCTCTCAGCTCTCTTAGTGCTGGCGGGTGTACATCATCCCCCAAGCAGTGTGTCTGCTCAAAGAAATGTGCTCATCTTGATTTTTACAAAGAGAACATCTTATGTACAAGTGGACATTTCTCCCCCTGGAACTGGACAAAGTGACCTAGCTAAAGAAGGGAATTTACAGCCAATCCACTAACATGTTTAAATACGAAGAAAAACTGCCCTCTCATTGTGGTTCATCATGCTGTGACTGTACCATCAAGGCAAAATTTAATCCAGCTGGGCAAACCTGGACTATTTTGACTTCAATTATAAGGTCAGGAAAGTAGAACGTGTTAGACGGAGTTCTTTCTCCTATAAATTCCCCAGGGTGCCTGTTCTGAGAATTTAAAGACCGTACTCATGCTTACTTCCTTGGTTCCTGTTTGCCTATACTACATTCTCAGAGAGAAATGTCTTTGAAATAAATCTGAAACAATAACGCCCAAACCGAGCTAGTAACCAGAATCACCTGGGGAGCCTACAGTACACAAACTCCCGGATTCCATGCCATCCCCACGCTGAGCCTCAGGAAGAAAAGCTCCTGGGGGATTCTGCTGTGGTCAGCTGCTGGGCAGCAGTTGGAATAAGCCTCCAGCTTCTAACCACAGGTTCCCGTTAGCACGTTAGAGAAGGAAAATTAACCTTTGGCAGAGACTAAATATTACCTCCAAGTCCAATTCAAGCTCTTCTAGGTCACTGGAGAATTTTAAGGTTTTCACTTGGGAGCGATTCTGGTCCAAAGTGTAACTGGCATTTAAGGCTTCTGTTTTCCTGGAGTATTTCTGGACAGCTATGCCTCTGCAGGTTCCTTCTCCTCTAACCATTCTGCTGTGCCTTCCAAATCCGGAGCATCCCTCTAGCCAAAGATTACCTCTTCCATGAAAACAGCAATGACTGCATTAGCTGCTCCTCCCTCCGAGAATCCCCTGGGCTAGTCAGAGGCATATAATTTAACACTTAATTGTTTTCTAATTGCTTCCGATCTGTTCTGTTCCCTCACCCTATTATAAGCAGCTCAAGGGTGGAGACCACGGCTCCCTCACCATGGCTTTAATAAGGCTCCTCGCCTGCTTGGCTTCCCATTGTGGCCCCAGAGATCCAGGCTGGCATGAAATTGGCTCTCCATGAATATTTGTTGAATTAATGAATTTGTTGACAGAATGATCATCAGAACATATAGTCAAGAAGCTCATGCCTGGACAACAAATGACCTCTCGACTTGTTTTCTGCTATTTAACTTAACCAACATTTAATAGAGAGCTGGGACGTTACTGCCTTAGGTGCTGGGGACACTGCGGTGAATGACCTTGATTGATGCACTGTGAATGTTCAAGAAAGGGGAAATCAAAAACTTTGGAAATGGAATTGTTCTTGCAGGCTTTGGAAGACTATGAAAAACAGGACAGAGGTCATTTTAATGACAATCGCATCTCACAGAAACATAAGGTGGCAATCCACTGCCTTTGACTGGGTTTTGCAATATTTTAGTAAAAAATGGTACGGTGGCTGATGCAGCCACAATAAGGGCTGCCTCTCCTCCTTCTAGAACCTTCTGCAGCACATTTTCAGGTGACAGAGCCCTTTATTAACTTTAGTATTGCTTATGTTTTGTTAAAACTTTAGCCCCTGGGTAGCATGAGCCGGAGGGGACCAGGTCATCTTGCCCGTGACTCCTTGGTCTCCTTTGAAGTCTGTTCCTCTGTGACAGACTTCTAGACCCCAACCCCCACAAAGGATCAGAAGCCACCAGAGACTCGATGACTTGGTCTAAAGGAAAAGCAGTATTGGTTTTGTAGACTCAAATTTTCTTCTTCTATTCACCATGACTTCAGCTTTCAAAACGTGGTGGGGCTGTCTGTTCCTCCTGCTTCTCCTCTGACTGTCAAGCCCTTCATGCTCTCCCAGAAACTGGTCAGTATCTCAGGCTCACTTAGCACCATCCTGGCAGCACACAGCATCAAGTTCTCTGGCCTGTGATAATTACTGAGTGAACTGACTTGCAGGGAGAAGCAACCTGCAGAGATTTCCACTGCCAAGTAATTAGGGCCGGTGAAGCTCCACAGACCATTAGCGCTGTGTTGGGAAACAGGATTTTACAAACATCGTGGCAGGCACTTGATACGAAGTTCTGTGGCTTTTTAAAGAGAAATGAGAGAGAAAGGGACTGAGACATGAAAGAGAAGGCAGAGGGGTGGAAATTAATGCAAAGAGATGTGGAGAGATGGTAGAGAAAATCAACAATGTCTTAAGTCTGGGTGACTTTCTGTTCACTGAAGAAAAAATCAGTGTATTCAAATTACTTGTTTTCACTCTGTAGCTGTCCCTGAACAAGAGGTTGACTGTCACATGAGAGGGCAAGTTTTGCTAGGGAAGTCATGACACAAATGATACTGGTAATTCTATTGGTAATTCTATTGCGAGCCAGCTGCCCTCACGCCATTCTAGAGTCCCTGATAAGTGACTTTATATAATGAACCCTCAGGTTCTTCATCTAAGTCATCTTCAGGGGTCCAAGTCATTCTTCCCACCAAAGGTACCTTGGTGAAGTTTCAAAATTATTTTGATGAATTAATGAAATGCACTGTTTCAACAAATGTTCTGTGACAGAGGCAGACGCAGGAAAATGACTTATCATGCTTCAAGTAGATTTGAACATACTCTACTGATTTTCTGATTTCCTTGAATAGAGGAGCCACTGCTTTGTATCAAGGCCAAAGTCAGAACTGTCTCTCAATAAAGTCCAGTGTGGGCTTCCACTCACCAGCACAGCCTGGATTTCCTGAGAGGATGCCCTTAATTACTTTTAATAAGAATAATAATCATTGAGACTATATATACATGGGATTTCATTTTTATGCTTTTTAAAGATCTGACAATGAAACAATCAGAAAGTAAACTGATGGAGTCTTCGCTGAGACTTTTGTTTGTGAAACTGGTCATTTTAAGAGACCCTGACATCTTGGGATACATCGATCATTGATCATCGATCTATCTAGCTGTCTTCTATTTATCCGTCTATACTTCTGTCATCTATCTATCATCCTTATTGTCTTCTATGATCTCTGTATTTCTTATCTTCTTTCTCTGCAGGGAATATGTTCCAAGATGTTCTGTGGATGCCAGAAACTGCAGATAATACTGTGCCCTACACTATGATGATTTTTCCTATTTAAAACTGTGATAAACTTTCCTTTATAAACTGGGTGCAGTGAGAGTTTCACAATATGTAATAATAAAACAGAACAGTATAAAGTTATTTAAAACTTTTAATTTTCTATTTCATATTTTTGGACTCTACTTGACTATAGGTAACCGAAACTGTGGAAAGTGGTAAACCCATCGGTCTGTCTAATCCATCATCTCTCTATTTACTCTGCCTGTCAATCATTCATGGTTCACTTGTATCTAATCAGTCATCTGTCCATCTCTATCATCATTTACTGATTTTTGCAGCATCGGTCTCTTCACAGGAGCTGCCCTGGCTTCTGAGGAATCCCCCGAATCCCTTGTCACAGCCGAGAGCCCAGGTTTCTGATCCTCATGTTGTTCCCCAGGCACCAGCCCTGTTTCAGAGCTCAGATCTGCTGCAAACTCTTCAAGCCCAGCCCCAGCCAATCACTTTCTCAGTAGGAGTTGTGCTATAATCACCCCTGCAGGCTTTGGTCAATGGCACTTGTCTCGGGAACAACCTGTGACAGCTCTATTGTGAAGTTCACGCTGACAGGATGTTCTCCTGTGCCAGTGCCAGCAGTACCCAGCTAATGACATCTGGGGCCAGAGGGCTGCTTAGTGAGATGGATCGAGGTTCTAGGATCACAAAACGTCAGAACTGGCACTGGTCTACAGGTCCCTGCTGGCTACAAGGGAACGTGAGCTGTATGGGAAAGAAAAAGATGCATCCTGTGTTCTGCTCTGGTCCTTTCTCTGAGGAGGGGTGAACCACCTGTGCGAGGCTGAGCTCGGCTCCTAGGGGTCACACAATCCATCCTGAGTGTCGAGATCCCTTGAGCAGACCTTGGGATTGTAGCCCTGACCTTGGTACAATGGATCTGCCTCCATTATTGAGCATTTAAATGTCTCTGGAGCTCTGTGACTCTCTGTGACTTTGGTATCAAGCCCAGAGTCATCCCTCCACTGGAATAAGGATCTTTTTTTTTTAAGGTACAGAAACCCGTCTCCTTGCACTTTGTATTTGCCCTCAGTGTTTCTTCTGCCGGGTGTCAGAACAAATTAGTAACACTCAGTCCCTTCCCCTGTCCTTGTGGGCATTGTTCCCTCCACATGCTTCATGCCCAGCGAGGGCACAGGTGTCCAGCCTTACCCAGGACATGTCCACAGACCAGGCCTATGGAATCACCAGCACCTGGGCTGTCACTGGGCCAGGGGCTCTCTAGCTCCATATACCTTTCCAGATGGGGCTGGGCGGCAGTGAGCCCATGTCTGATATCTTATCTTATCTCACCCTGCCTCTGGTACCACAAATGTTCTGCATTAGTAACAGCTGAGATGTTCCCCCTGAAGGTGAGTTTGGGTTCTCTGAGAAGCCAGTGCCAAGTGAGATCATTGAGATTTATTGAAGAACTTATTGAGGAAGTAGCTGTGCAGGATGAAGATGGAGAGCAGGATTGGAGAGGAGGAGCCTTTGGACCAGAGGCAGGGTGACATCTGAGAAGAGAAGGAAGAAGTGGGCAGGAGGCTCAGAATTGGGGAACCTGAGCCAGGCGTGTCCATTGGAGGAGTCCTGGCCTGGGCAGCAATGGCCCTTTAGGGTCTGTAGCACTCATCCTTGGCTGGCAGCATGGCTTAGCACGAAGGCCAGGGAATCCAAGGTGGAGCAGCCGGAGACTGTTCCCTGATGCAGGTGTCCTTGAAGTAGGAGCTGAACGGCATAGGTCTATTCAGAACTGCCACACACCCGAAGACCTCTGTGATGGTCCAAGAAGGCATTTACACACCTCACTGAGTGGCTGGTGACCTCCTTGAGGAACAACAACATAGCACAAGGGGCTACACTCAGTAAGCTCGGGACAACTTCCAGGGTATCTCAGCAGGGAAAGTCAGATGTGCACAGGACTCACACTCAGAGATGACCGACTCAGGCAAGGCATTTCCCTGAAAGGGGATGGAAATCACTTTGAGTTTTTAATGACTGGATGGTACCTCAGGGCATTTTGTTTTAGATGCCCTTTTCCGCCACCAACTGCGATCCCAAGAAAGTGAATGGGATAATCTGTTAAGGACTTAGTTACAAAGCTGTGCCCAGGGGACAGGAAAAGCACAATGGGTAGAGACTGCAGTGCCCTGCATTAGTGACAGCTACTTGACCTACTTGTAGGTCAAGGGCAGGGAAGGAGGCCAGAATCACATAGAGGAGAACATCTTGACAAGAGCGGTGATCTTTGGATACAGGCACAGAGAGGTGGAGGCAACATCCCAGGGCATGAGCTTGCGAAGCAGCAGCCTGATCTCTGTTGCTCTCTCTCTCCATTATGCCAGGGCTCTCACTGGCTATGACCAGCAATCAGGGAAGCGGGGGCTTCCTGGGGCAGAGAGCAGGTGCTGAGCAGACTGGAGGTAGGGAGCTGTCGCTAAGCCCCTGTCATGCTGGTGAGGTCCTGTCCGAAATGACACAGACGGTTCAATAAGGAGGAAAGCAACAGTCTACCCTTCGTTCATCTACTCAGCAAATATTTTCTTGGAGTCAGCGTGTAAGTCATCACATCGTTCCTTGTTTGCATTCTGGGAAGTTAAAGTTATTGAATGAAATAAGGGCTGGGAGCTGCTGTGCTTTACTTCCCTCAATGTCACGGTCTCCTGTGGCTGACAGGTAATTGAGATGCACGCTGAACTTGCTATTTGAGGAAGAACCTGCCTAGGGTTGGGGGGGGGGGATGGTACACGATGCCGGGGAGCACCCGCTACCTGCTGAAGCTTGAATTGCAGCACTGGGGTTCAGCATCGGGTCTTCAAGAAGTTGTTTCACTTTTGGAGAGTTACTCTGGGGACGAATCCCCACCACACACAGACTCCCAAATGGGTACCGTGGTCCATATCCCTGGTTTAGCTTTTTGTGGTTGCATCAACTTGTGGTCAACTGAAGCCTAAAATTATTAAATGTGAAATCATATATTTTGAGAAGTGGGTGAGGGAGGGTGAGGGAGAATATTTATATAGCTTTTATCGCAGTGTATTTTTATAGTTGCTCTAATTTATTACCTTATTAATTATTCATTGTGCCTATTTGTAGAATAAATTTTACCATATGTGTGTATACATAGGAATGTATATTATATATAATATATTAAAAAATATAGTTTGGTACTATCTGTGGTTTCAGAGATCCATTGGCATCCTGGAATGAACTCCCCAGCTTAAAGGGGAATGACTGTGGTTTCATCCATCTTAGCTTGCCACCTTCTCTGGGCTTGGCAATCACCAGGAGAGCCACGGGAATACAGCCACCTGGCCCAGCCCCCAGTGATGCCCTTTAAGTGGCCAGTGGGAGCAGCTACTGCTTGCAGATTCTTGCACACAGCCAGAGCTGAGGGGCAGAGCAGACATCTTCACTGCTTAATTTTGTAGAGATGCAGCCATGAACAACACCATACAGGGCAGAGACGGAGTAGCATGCTGAGAAGGGGAGCAGAGACCAAACCCCTTATGGTCTGGCCCAGTGTGAGCGTGCTGGAGAAGGCACATGAATTTGCAGGGCCTGGGGGAACCCAGTGGAGGCCAGGCCGTGTCTGGGGAGAGGAAGGCAGACAGCGTGAGAGTGCACCTCGGGGCCCATCTGGGGTCAGGTGAGAGCGGATTCACTGTCAGGTTGGCCCACTACAGGAAGGCTGGGTCCTTCATTAATTCACAATGCTGATTGTTTAGTCATATAGGTGTCTTACATTAATTTTGATTTGGATTAGAACCTCATTTATCATGAGTATTGAGTTTTCTGGCACTTTCCATTTTGCTGCAAAGTGAGCTCTCTTGGGAGAGGAGATGGCATGATTGAGCACAGCTTCTGGTTGTGGAAACAGGCTTGCCCTGGGGTGTGCCGAACTTGCATTTGGACCTCAGCCTCAGCTGTGTGGCGTTGGGCTGGTCACTCATCTCCCTGAGCCTCTGTTTTATTACTAACTCTTTTTGATGGGGCCTTGGTGAGGGCAAAACTAACCAATAGGATGCTGGCACAGTGGGGGATGCAGGACCTCCTGCCCCAGGAGTCTCAGAAAGGGTGAGGGCTGGTGATACCCACAGTGCATGGCACATTTGCAAGTGAAGCAGACTGTGGCCCGGTGCTGCCTGGTTGTTTTTGTCCCCTGAAGGCCGCCTTGCTTGGCAGCAGATGGTCCTGTCTCTCTGTTTTCAGGTGTGAGTGACCCGTGGCAAGCCACACACCACTGCAGGACCTCTGCCCACCTGCCAGGCCTCTGTGGTTTGTCACTCCAGACTCCCACGCCATCATCTGGGTCCCATAGCATCCCAGTCCCCGCAGCGCACAGAAGGCCGCTTTGTCTCCTGTACACACCTGATTGCGGCACTGCAAGGTGGTGACAGCGCTGTTGGACCATGGCCAGGCTCCGTCAGCAGCAACATTAGCCATGCCTCTTCCAGAAAGCCCTTGGGCAGGAGCCAGGGCTGGGTGACTGCAGAGGCGCTGGTTGGGTGGTTTTCATTTCCTTCCCGTGTTGGTTTTTAAACTTCCGGCCTTTTAGTGCTGAGATCCTCCAAAGGGATCTTGGGTCTGCTCCCGGGGCTCCTGCTGGAGGAGCGTCCCCATAGACCTGAGCGCTGAGCCACCACCCCTGGGGCTGCTGGAGTGAGGACTCCCAACAGCACTACAGACTCCCTTCCAGTTAGGAGGGCTCCAGCATGGCTCCTGAGTGCCCTGAGGGCCACGGCAATATCAGCGGGCACTGGCAGCTTCTTATCACTGGTGGCTTTCTCATTTGTCCCAAAGAGGGCACCCAGGGGCAGGAGAGGCTGGAGAAGACCATGGCTGCTGATGGAAAAGGCACAAAAGGAGTAAAATCATTTTCCCAACAAGTCTGGGTGACATGGCCATGAAGGAGCCTCCTCCAGAAGCCTTGGAGCCCAACATGGAGGGAGAAGGTGTCCTGCACCGGAGGTAGAGTGGGCACTGGAGACCTCCTCCATCGGCCCCTGGCATTGGAAGGCCTGGTATTTGGGATCCCTGTTATTGGAGGACCCTGGCATTGAGGAATTTCTAGCACAGGGGGCTATGACTGGGGGGCTCTGTCACTGGGGAGC